GTAGTAGTAGTAGTAGAGTAGTAGTAGTAGTAGTAGTAGTAGTAGTACGTACGTACGTACGTACGTACGTACTACTACGTACGTAGTAGTAGAGAGGAGGAGGAGAGAGAGAGAGAGAGAGAGAGAGAGAGAGAGAGATTGGGGTTGAAGATTGACAGGCCTCACAAATCCCTAGTCCTTATGTTGGTGTGTACCATGTAATGCCTTTTTTAGAAGGGCAAAGTTTATATGGAACCGGGGTTCTAAACAATCAAATTCGAGTCTATCTCAAATAGTTCTCTAGAAGAGGTTGATTTGATGATCAAATATCTTCAAATTAATCATTTCGACATCAAGATCTTGGACATGAGAAAAAAAAGGATTGCAAGTTTTGGAAATAGTGTATTTTGTAACGCATTTTTGGCCCGTCAATTTTCAAGATTTTTAAAGCTCTCGGTGATATGTTGATTTACATTATTTTTGAAACTTCAAAATTTTAAAATAAATATAAAAATATACTTTTAAGGTTATAACAAATATTTTCAATATGGAAACGACATTTCTCGATACTATTTGAAGGTAGGCTCTAATTTGATTGTTTAGAGCTTAGGCTCTATACAAACTGCACTTTTTTTGGAATCCATCCTTAACATGGAACCCAAAACCATCTCCTTGATTAAAGAGAGATAAAACGAAGGAGAAAAGGTTCAGTATGGGTGAGAGAGAGAGAGGGCGAGAGAGAAGCCATACATATGAAAGCTAAAAATGCGTGTTGTGATCTTAGATGATTAGGATTGGAGAGAGAGAGAAAGGGGTGCTAAGAGAGGAGGATGAGAGAGAGAAGGGGTAACTAGGGAAAGCAGTGAGAGGGAGAAGAGGTGGGAACGGGAAGAGAGAGATGGAAAGCGGTATAATGAGGGGGTGTTGAAAGGGGCAAACTGATTACCTCCCCATCACCGTGAAGATCTCAATGTGGGTGAAATTCAAGGGCCAACAAGCAGTATTTTATGTATTTTTTTTATTATATATATATATATAGGAAAATACTATACAACGTCTATAGACGAAAATGAACAGTGATTTTGTCTATTTCTATTATCGTCTAAAGTTCATCGCGCGGTTACGATTGTTTGGAAGTGTTTTATTTTTTTTCTACAAATTGGAATGGCTTGAAATTTGGAGTGTGTATTCATTAAATATAAGGGAATCTTTAAAAATTATAAAAAAAAATATTTCACTTGAAAATATTTGACCAAAATACCTTCGAAAAGTTTAGGGGGTATTTTGGTCAATTTAATTTTTTACAGATAATTTTTTTTATATTTTTATTAGATGCGTCTCAATAAGATGTACATATCCTTCAAATTTCAAGTCATTCTGATTTTTTTAAAAAATAAAACACTATCGGACAATCGTGACTGCACAATGAAATTTGAACGGTGATGAGGGCAGGAGAAATCATTATTCAATTTCGCCTATAAGTATTGGAAAGACTTTTCCATATATATATATATATATATATATATATATA